ATAAAAAAAAAACAAAAACAGAAAAACGCAAGAATTCAAATTTAAATTAGGGTACCAAATCATGAACTGGAAAAAACGGGACGCACCCAGGGGGGGTTTGGGGGTGATACCCTCCAGCTAAAGAGGTGTCGGGGGGGGGGGGCTCCGCCGGAAACTCTTTATTGAAACATGTTCATTTGAACTATGTTGAGACCTAGAAATCTTTTAAATTTACCTTCACTTTCGTAATTTAATTTAAACTCTGAGGCATATCATAAACGAAAACAATAATTTTGCATCCTCGGCAGAGTGGTGGAGTGGGAACAGTGCAGCCATCACGTGAGCCCACATCACTACTGGCACCGGCTACACAGCTAGTCAAAATATTAATGGAAGTTATATCATAAATTAGGAAGTTTTAGTGAATTGAAAATGTCCTTTGATTTAGAAACGGGACATTTAGGCGCCCCGAGAGACTTTTTTGGTACACCGGGTACGATCGTGACGACGTTTGGTCACCCTAATTTCAAATCTATGAACTTGGTTGATTTCAGGATATGGTTTTGGAAGCGTACGAGTCCGAGACCCTGTGGGAGCAGCAGATGAACAGCAAATCTCTTGCCAGTAAGTGGAAGCTGGGCCTGAAAAAACTGTTCAGCGGACTGTCCTGCTTGAAGTATCTGCATCGACTGCCCGTCAAGTACAGGAGATTCGACCACCTGGACACGGCTGACGCGCCGTAGTCAGCCTGTCCACAAGAATCAGCTTTAAAATACAACTCCCGCTCCTCCGTCAAAATGCCTTTAAAAAAAAGAGTATACACTTGTGGATTTTATGATAAAATCAGTTTAAAACATGCTGCATGCCGGGTGGAGAAAATAAGGGAGGGGGTGGGGGGGGGTTGTGTTAAAAAGAATCTTAATTTTTATTTTTTTTTTTCCATACAGGGAACAATATTGCAGTTTTAATGTTCTCAGCGCAAATCATTTGACTCCGTTTTTATGAAAACATTTCTTAAGAGGTCCAAAAAATAAAGAATCCCTACTGTTGGTGAGCTGTTTCTTAAAATAATTTGGTGGTATATCTGAATACATTAGCCAGAATTTAACCGGTGATACTAGTCTAGTATAAATTTATATAAATATATATAGTATAGTGCAATAATAGTAATATGGAAGTAGCAAATAGGCATGAATGCAGAAATAATATATCTTTTGCTCAGCTACAAACAGAGTCCCATATAGCTAGCTGATCAAGTTGACATGTCACATTGGGAAATGGTGTCGGTGGGCCATCGAGCGCGAGCACACCTCCACAAGTTGATACAAAAATGGTGAAAACAATCAAACACAGAATATTTAATATAAGGCAGCTGGTTGTTGTCAACAAGGTTTATTTGTGTTCATTAAATGAACATTCAAAATTATGTACAGATGAGTCAAACGTAACACAATCTATTAAGTGACCAAATGTAGTATGACATGAATTGTTTTCTTAGTTTCATAACAATAAATGGTTCACACTAAAGAGATACAACGTATTGTTGAATGTATGTTGTTTATAAGCTCATGTATTATGTTCTGTGATTGTCTTGTGTATGTTTCATATTAATCCCTAAGAGTTTAACAGTATTTCCAAACAGACAATTTAAATGGACAGTAGAAAGAATCAAGAGCCCATGTAAAACAACCTAAGCAATCATTCTCATGAATAATTTGCTGTTAATTTGTTTATTCCTACCTATGCCACCACAACCCCCACCCCTCCCCCCCCCCCCCCAGATATTTCAGTTTGAGTGAGCAAAAAAAAAACCCGCCATCACTAACAATTCATGCAGTAATATTTTTTTCTAGAAATGAAAAGCCCATGAAATTTTCAGGAAACTAATGAAATACATGTCTTTAAAAAAATATATCCATTTTTTAAATGATTTAACCCTTGGCTCCCAGGCCTAAAATACCCATGCCCCAGGAGAAAAATTCTACAAACTGGCACACAAGTAAACTAAATAAAATGATTATATAATTAAATATACTTTATTTCATTCTAAATTTGTTTGTTAGCAGCCCACTAGTATTATCAAATGTATCATAGAAACAGGTCAACATCTTTTTCGATTTGCATTATTTCAATCCCTTTTCAAAACACAATAATAATCCTGTGAATTGTTTACATTATCATAAAACTACTCTGGTGTGGGTCCTTTACTTTAGGATAGCAATATGTGTATTTTCGTCACCTCTATACATAGAGAAAAAATTACTAAAACATAAACAAAACACCAAAACAATGCATTCATGGAGCAGCCATTATTGTGACCTTTTGAAAGTCACGAGATAAACCCTGAAATGGTATTTACAATTACAATACATTTTATATATGGACTGTCTTACTATGGTAAGGTATGGGAGCCGGAAATATCAGTCTGGCGGGGAGCGGATTTTTAAGGCGCAGACCGATAAAGCGGGATCGCGGGTTCACCGAAAGGAAGTGGAAAAGCATGAAAAAATAAACACAGCCTTCAACAGGACATGCTACCTAAACAACAAACAAAAAAAGCATGGACAGGCAGAAATGATTGGAGTCAGGATACAGCAGTAACTTAGTAACAATGACTTTATCATCTTAAAAAAATTCAAAATTTAAAAGAAAATTACCAGACAAAAATAAAGCTAACACTACTAATACTGGGGTACAACCACATACTGACTGATATAAGCTGTACCCTGCATTAACTCTGAATCTTCAAAGTGTAACAAAGGTGGACATGAATATATCATTTAAATTTAATGTGTTGCTAGTGGGTCACCTGCTTGGTAACATAGTGCAAAGGAGGAAGTTACCTCAAAAAAAAAAAAAAAAAAAAAAAAAAAAAAAAAAAAAAAAAAAAAAAAAAAAAAAAAAAAAAAAAAAAAAAAAAAAAAGAAAAAAATGAAAAAAACAAAAAAAATTAATGTGTTGCTAGTGGGTCACCTGCTTGGTAACATAGTGCAAAGGAGGAAGTTACCTCAAAAAAAAAAAAAAAAAAAAAAAAAAAAAAAAAAAAAAAAGAAAAGGAAAAAAAAAAAAAAAAAAAAAAAAAAAAAAAAAAAAAAAAAAAAAAAAAAAAAAAAAAAAAAAAAAAAAGATTGTTGGGTCAGTCATATAAAGTTGGGTCAAGTCAAGATTCAACAGTCTCGAACCTCTGATCAGATGAAAAAACAACATGGCTGTTGTTAATAGCAATAGCAGTGCTATAATATATACATCTGCAGCTTTAAAATTTCAAAGAGTGCAGTTTGCTTTAACTGAAAAAACCACAAGGTATATAAAACGTTTAAATACCCAGCTGTGCCAATCGCTCCACAAGCAAATTACCATACTCTTTCCAGTCAACTGGGGTGGCTGTAACGCATACAGTTTTGAGTCGACTCTCATCATTGTACTTTTCAACTTTAGCACGCATGCGAAATGTGAATTGTTTGAAAAGGACGTTCTGCATGACCTGGTCAAACTGGGTCTCATCTTTTTCACGCAGTTCCCCTATCTCGTCGGCTTTCATTTCCAGCAGGGCTTCAGCCGACTCTTGGAAACAGGTGATCCACTGATTGTCTGTGTGGTCTGCAACATTCGCACTTAAGATCATTCTCCACTTGTAGTTGGGGAATTCTCTGTTGCACCTCTCACAGCGGTATAAACCATTTCCCTGGTCGATAACCTTCTTGTTGCAGTCTGCTGTTGGGCATGCCTGGTACATGCAGTTGTCCTTCTTGACAAAAACTACAGTACCTTTAGCCGTATAGTAGTCTGCTTTATCACTCTGCCCAAGATTTTCAGACTTCACCTAAAGATAAAAAACATTTTAAAACATCTGCTGTAAAGAATTCAATTTCAACTTCATTCAGATATTTTAGTCTTCAACAAACTTATCTTTGATACTACTAGTCCAAATTCCTCTTTATGGATACAAATTATCATAATACTTGGCAGCAAAAAATTTAATAAATTTCACATGCAGAAAATCAATAATCGATACCGGTAATCTAAAACTACATGTAATAAAATAATATCAGTAGGGACTGTATAAAACCCTGATCCTGAAAATAAATATAGGAGACAACAATACAGATCGAAACAACTTAACTGACAACTCACCTGACCAAAATTCTTCCAGTTTGATGAATGACCGCCACCAGCAGATCCTCCTTCAGCCTGAAAGGTGTTGAAATTCAACTCGCGTCCCTTGCTTTCAAACCACCCTCTCAAGAAATGGGCTTCTTTGATATCGGGATTGATCATCAGTTGACTGCCTGAGGTCACAGAAAGAGAGCGCCCATGGAATTCTGACACCTTAGCACTTCTGACCGCCACAATCGGGTAACCTTGACCATCAAACTTAACTGCATCCTCTCCCCACAGGGTCATATTCACTGCCACACCAGACTCATCAACTATCTGAAGATCTCGTTTTGTGATCTCCTTTTGGGACTGTTTTCCGATGACGGTCCCAACATCATTGCACACTTTGACAACACCAATGACATCTACATTGCCGTTGGGCTGAGCCTTCTCTAGGTCAGAGATTTTCACAAAGTCAAAAGTAATCACAGGAAGATCAGTTGTGTCATTGCATGGCTCTATAACAGTTTCTGGATTCATGGTCATCTCATATTCACAGTTCAGGTTGGAGTACTGCTTATTGGCAGTCTTCAGAGTGCATTTGGAGAAGTAATAAACGTTGTTTACCTCCAGCATATCGTAGTATTTGCCCACCTGATCATTGAACCCAGTGCATCGGATCTCCCCACTGTCATCAAGGAGATTGACATTGAACAGCCGCCCCTCGCCCCGAGAGTTGTTCCACGTGCGGATGTTAGATTTCATGGTGACCCTGGCTCTGATGCGCCAGCGATTTTGGTATGGTGTTAGGCTGGAAATGGAATGAACGCGTGATGTTGGTGTTGTAGGGGTGGAGCTCTGTTTGATTTGCAATGACTTGCCTGATAGTCCAGAAGACTGGGAAAAAAATAATAAAATAAGACTTTGCAAAAAATCTACCAATCCCTTAATAATATCACTTAATTAAAAAAAAAATATTGGCAGATTCAATTAACTGACTTTAACCCTTACATATTTGTAAAAGAGGAATGAAAAATATCAAAGTGAGTAATGACACAATTTCAATAAGAATAAGAGCTACCACAAAGTCAATACTCACAGGACCAGTTGGCTTTCCATGCTCAACACTTTGTGGCTTTGACCCTACATTTGTTACAGGACGCTGAGCAGGCACATTAGTTTGATCTGCTATTTTTGGCTTGTTAGCGAGGCTGGGTATCTGAGCAGGATTAATAGTTGTAGGATTTCCAATCTTTTCGCCAACTTCATCCCCTGAAGTGCAGATATAATTTATCAAAATACTTTTAAAAAAAGATCCCTTTAGGGTTCTTCAGTTATTTATATGCAAATATGATCCCTTTACCCCGCGGATTCTACAAAATTTTGCCTTAGAGCAAAAATAATTAGTATGATTAAGGAAATATAGGACAATTAACCTTAAATTTTGAATTTTATGCTTTTAATAGTCATCCCCTCCATAATGTAAAACTGAGGCCAATTGGAATGTTGCGTATGTGCCAAAAAACCCTGGCCAGCTTTTTAATATCCTGCTTTTCTCTGTTTGGTTAGGAAAGTTTCAACTGATCATATATAAAAATGTTAAACTCAATAAGCTTATGTGACTCATTTTTAATAGTACTTTTTTTTTTGTTTCACCAAGAATACTTGGTGCTTCTGACTTCAGCAAGCTATTTTGTCATGGGTTAAAGTCAATAAATAGACTACTCCACGTGGTTATTCACTCAAGAATGAAATGTTTAAGGACAAAAAGAAAATCGAGTTCTTCAATCTGCACCACTACAAAAAAAGTAGATATTTAATTATATATAATTATTTAATCACATTTTTTTTCCACCCCCTATTCCAATTATTTTATGGGAAACCCTGCTATAATACTAATTAACAGGCAATACAAATTAATAATAAAATAGGTAAATGAATGAATCAAATTTCTACCTGATGCAAGTACTTTTAAGTCCAACACAATGATAACACGCTTTTCTCCCTGCACTGTATTACAAACATAGTTTGTCATTTCAATAACAGAGAAGTTAGTAACTTCATTGTTCTCCATCACTCTGTTGAGCTGAGCACCCAACATGACGTGCGAATAAACATATTCACCATCTGATACTAGCAGTCGATAACGGTCCACTGTATTCGCTGTCACAATTTTCTTAGTGTTCATAACTTGAAGAACTGGCCTTTCTGGGGTCAATCCATTGAGAATGTCCAGAATGATACCACTACTCAGCTGCATTTTTATTACGTTTAGAATCTGAAAATGGAGTTTAAAAAAATCAATCACACTAGTAAATAGCTCTGAGTTAAATATCTTTAATTACTTCATTAGATATTAGAAACATAGGCTAAAAGTAGTTCTAACATAGATTTTCCATTATTCCAAGGCATATTCCTCAATAACAATATCAAAATATTGCAAACCAGAACCTGCATTTGGGGATATAACACAGACTGTGCCTTTAATTTAGACAAGAGTAAATGACAGCAGACTATAACTATAATCAGATTGGCTTTAGACTAGTGAAAATAATATGTAATACAGACATATATGATGTATCATATAGGAAATTAGTAAAACAAAGTAAGGTTAAACCTGAAAAAAGGAACACAACAAAACAATGAACAGAATAAAATTTTAAAAATATAGCACTTAGATGACAGATAGTATCCTAGAGGGCAGAAAATGAATTGTTGCAGAAAATAAGTGAGTGAGAGATTAAATAGGGATGAGGGAAAGAAAAGAGGAGAAGTAAGTCCTCTGCCATAGGGCGTGACGTGGAGGAGCTAGGCTCCAGCTACAAATAGAGATATGACGTTCATACCATGTGGTGTCAATGTGCCATAGGTCAGGATAAGCTTGTATTCCAAATTTACCCGGCTAGGTGTGTTTGTGCTAGTCACGATCACACATTGATACCACATGGTATGAACATCATGTCTCTATTCACAGCTTGAGCCTAGCTCCGCCCCTCCACGTCAAGACCTATCACAGTGGTCTTACTTCTTCTACTTCTCCTCTTTTCTTTATTTTTAAACGAAGTGGTTATACGCAGTCGACTGCCTATAACCCTGAGAGTTCGATGCAGTCGGCAAGTCATGTGAGGTCTATATACCTCCTGTGTTACAGTATCGATCGATAAAGGTACCTCGTTATCAGGGTGACTGGGTGGTCGAATGGTATAAAATGAGCAAACCTCAAGTTTGTGGTCTGGAGTTCAATTCCAGCCCAAGGCCAGTCAAGATTGCATAATACGTGTTAGTTGTTATGTTTGTTCTCGAGGATAAACCAAAAACAGCTAGGCTTATTGTTTTACTTTTGTTTTGGCTAAAAAATGTTAAAACATGATAAGAATTAACTTGACCAATGTAAGGTTAATAATGTTATTCTTATACTTTTAATTATAATATATGTTTTCTGTTGTTAATATATATTTTGTGTAGTTAACTAATTTTGTGGCAGATAAAAACATGTTTCTTTGGTACAGTAATTATAATCAGGGGTGGAGAATAGCAGAAAAAAATAGCTGTAGGGGCAGGGGGTTCTGTAGAGGGGGCCACTGTAATTAATACTTTCACACAGTTATAGTTTAGCATGGAAGCTGAAAACTGTTACATTTAGGTCACCAAAAATAAAATAAAAATAAATGGTATATTTTTTTAAAAATAAATAGAATGTATTTCCTGAATTAGTAAAGTAAAACCAACCAGATAGTCATAGCAACATATAAAAACCTAATCAATCAGAATACAGAACTAGACTTAAACCATGGAAATGCCTTAAGTCTCAAGGCATAATCATCCTCTTAGTCTTGGACTCTAAGAAATTTAGACTTTGACTTATAATATATAAGATACAAGTACAAGCAATAATACGAATAATAGCAATAATACTATTACCATCATTCAATATTAATTAAAATTAATTCAATAAACATTTTACGTTAAACACATTAAAAGTTATAGTTCAAAACAACCCAGAATGCAGCTAATTATGCATAATGGCATAATACTTTTTTTTAAATGGCCAAACTAGCGGTAATAAACCCTATTTGGCTAAATTCCCAGCTGACTGTATAACGCATCCCATTTTAAAAATGTTATTGTTTGTTCACTGATGAAGGGTTCCTGCTGACACCTTCGTTGTTTTGTTGCGTTCCTTTTTCAGGTTTAACCTTACTTTGTGTTACTAATTTCCTATTGCCTATTGTGCTAACCTGATTGCAGTCTCCCCCCTTACTACCCATAATTGATCATATTATGATAGAAGATTGGGGGTTAACTATGACTATGGAGTGAGTATGGTCTATGCCATAGACTATGGATTAATAGTATGTACATGAGGTTTGACTGTCTTGGGATCAGTCAATAAATAGATATATCAATAATATCATGGGGAAATCCATAAATTATGTCATTAAAATAAAAGGATGTCACACATCTGAGGAGAAAAAAAAGGGGAGTGGGAAGCCGGGAAGGGTTATCACACAATTTGTTTAGACTTAGAAAGACTAAGTCACCTAAGCCTAAGTAGTGCCTATGATGCCTATAGTCCTTGGAGTGCAAGACTAGTTACTTAGTTAAGAAATAATTCATAGTAAGTAGGAGTAGCTCAGTAGGCTATAACTATAATTATAGCCTGATAGTTTGCTATTTTTAGACTATAACACTGAATGAAATTATTTATTATTGAGTATCCCGAAATTAATGTGCAACAACGAAGTGTGACTAATTTCTTTTTCAGAGCCATTGTTTGTAGATAAATCCCATTGTGCATCTTGATGACACAATCTAGTGGTGCATTACAAATTATTTACCTTCTGAGCCTTCTTAAATTACGTTAATCCCGCGTATAACAGAAGAAAAACTGGCGCGTTATTTTTGGGAGCGAAATAACCAACCCAGGAACAGGAAGTGCTAATGTCAAGATGTTAAAACTAAAACAAAAATCCATTGGCCTTAAAATATATTCTCTCATTATTTCCGGGTTGTGTGCCCAATCAAAAGTGCTGTTAGGTCGAAAATAAGCAGCTGTAGCCGCTTTACACAAAATTTACTGCACCTTATAAACTAGTCTGTTGTACATATAATTAGTTATTTATATCTGCAGACTAATATAAAACTAAATACAAGTGTTTTGATAAAATGCTTATTTTAAAAAACTAAATTTATAATTTTGAAGAAAATGTATGAGTTCTACCATGCGGATTAATTTCATGATGAACACTCTGAGATCATCAAAAGATGGTTACATTACAATAACAATGAAATATTTCTTACCGTATTTTTTAGGCACAGAAATTGCGACAGGGTGCAAGTTAATTATGTGTTTATGTCAAAATGTAGTGCAATAGCTAATTTAATTTATAACGTATATATAAATAAGCTGAATAAGTATATGTGATCTTAAGCGAAAATGGGTAACTGCTTTGCTGGGAGATCACAAGCTGAGCAAACCACCAGTTCTGTGAATGCTACTGGAGTAGAGACCTCACCGTCTCATGTCCATCGAGCGTCTGAGCAAAATGGTGTTTTGGTTAAAACAGCTAGTGCCGTTGCGTCGAACACAAACAACTCTCAAGGTAGTCCATCACCATCTAATCAGTCACCTCAGCACAAAGTTGATACAAGCAATGATATTGTACATTCTGGACCACTCAAAGTGTTTGTTGCCTTGTATGATTATGATGCTCGCACAGATGAAGACCTTTCATTTAGAAAAGGGGAACACTTGGAAATAATAAATGATACTCAAGGTGATTGGTGGTATGCCCGATCAAAAGCAACCAAAAAAGAAGGTTACATTCCTTCCAACTATGTAGCAAAGCTAAAGAGTCTTGAATCAGAAGCGTGAGTATCAATATTTCATAATCTAACTTCTAAGAGTACTAAGGGGACCAAGACTTAGGCTTAGGTATTTTTTTATGATTCTGAAGACTTAGACTCACTGACCAGTAAAGATTGGGTTAGGAGTATCATGTGTTTTGTTAAAATTTGTCTCATCCTAAGTGTAGTAGTGTCGCAACTTCGGGGAATCCGAGTTAGAGTGAAAAGACCTATTGATATTGTTCGACTTGGACCTGAATGATGTGTATGATATCTTTCCCGTTCTTCACTGAGCATTATTGGCATTATAAACTAAATCTGATGATCAATAAAGTTACGAAGAAGTGTCTACATGACTGGTGGGCGGACGAATAAGTTCTTGAGATATTCTTGAGGCGACCAAGTCACATGACCACCATAACAAAGTTGTCTGTCAGCCTTGTCACGCGACCGCTAATAATAGTCATTCAGAAAATTGTCGTCGGAGATGCATCAGGGTGATGAGTTTACTTCATTTCATCAAAGGGGGGGGGGGGGGGAGCAATGCATTTAAACCAAGATAACGTTTTTTTTTTTTTAATGAGTTGGATTCAAATAGACTAGTATATTTAGGCATACTAATACTAGCATTATAATAGTTTTAATTTAAGATCAAATGCTTATGATACACTTTATGTATCTCAGAGCATTTTAAAACAGGCAGTGTCTACACATCCGGCACGCCGGTTTTATATCTCCCGCACTATTAGTCCGGCGACCAAGTCACATGACTGCCGTAACAAAGTGGCACGAGATATTTGTCCGTCAGCCTTGTCCCGTGACCGCGAACAATTCAAAACTATTTTATTGTTAATTTTAAAATTTATTTTTCTACCATGTAATTTACTGAGTATCTTGCAAACAAATAAAAGAAAAAAAATACTTGGGTATATTACGAAAACAAGTGGAGGGGGGGTTAAGCAATAATGCATTCTAGAAGGAGGCAATGCTGCTAAGAGGAAGAGAGTATTACGGTAATTTAAAATACGAATGCTAAAAAATAATATTGAGGTTTATAAATAATAAAGTTTAAGGCGGGGAGGCCGATAGGTTTACAAAGAAATAGACCCTACATCTTAATATAGGGTCGATTTAGTGGTAGCCTAGCCTACTTCTCATGCAATACAAAATACCAATCCTGAAATACAACTTTATTGACATAGGCATAGGTCTATTGAAGTCTACTGGTCTTATTTAATTTGGTTCATATTTTAAATTTAGGCTACAAGGTAAAGCTTTAAAAGTACTAGTACTACTTGTTAGTATATAGAGCATTTGAATATATTAAAATGTTCAGCATTTATTTATTATCTAAGGAACGGAATATTAAATGCAATGCAACTATTTTGCCTGCGACCACTTGCCACATGACCTGCCAGAATAATAACACCAACTAGTCGTCCGGCGGTCACGTGACATGCTCGCCAGACGTATATCTCCTGCACTATGTGTCCGGCGTGCCAGACGTGTAGACACTTCGTTGAAAATATTAACATATTCAATATTTAATTATTATCTAGGGATCGGCTGACTAATATATGTACAAAATATTGGAATATCATATGCAATGTGACTATTTTGCAGGCGACCTCTTGACACATGACATGTGACAGAATAATACCTACTAGTCGTCCTGCTGTCACGTGACATGCCCGCTTGAAGAATATCTCCCACACTATTTATCCGGTCGCCGAAGGTGTAGACACTGCCATAAAGTTAATGTGAAAAATATTGTAGTGAAATGTTCCATTCCTTTTTTAAAATTAAAATTCAAGTTCCAAAGAAATAAAATAAAGACACATCCATGCTAATATTATCCCAAGTTGAACACAAGTGAAAAAAAAGATGCACGTTAAAAGGTCTATCTTTTGATTAGTTAAAAAATGAAGTACCACCGTAATTTTATTGAGAGACGAAACTCCTCCCCAAACTTAAACAAGAAAAAATAACAAAATAATCTTCTGGAGAGGGGTCTACCCTTCCCCCACTTTCAAGACAAAAATAAAAAAAATTACAAAAAAGAAACATCAAATAAATGCAAAGCTAAAAACCTTAAATCTTTTGAATACGAAACTATGGCCGGTTGCTGACCTAGGGATCCTCCATGACCTTTATACCAGGGAAGGCATCGCCGGCTTTACTGCTAACCCATCCTAGCCATACTAATCTACTAAAGGCATAGAACTACTACTAATAATAAAACGTGTAACATATATCAGGTGAATTCCATTGTAACTGACCTAAGTTTCAGAAAAATAATTTCAATTTGCATCCAGTATAAATGAAAAATGCCATTAAGTATGATTAATTTAATTATATATTTAATAATTTAATAAAGTGAAAAAAATTGCATTTATAAATATATATTAAGCAAAAAAGTAACAAAAAAAAACAAACTAATTGTAGCCTGATTGACTAACATGAAAAAGACATAATATTTGTGAGTTAACATCTTTTTTGTTGATTTCCTTTGAACTCTGCAATAAATTAAACATATATCTTCAAACTAATTATGTACAATGTTTACTTTTCTAAGGAAAACCATTAAAAACTACTAAGCAAGCATATAAATAACAGTGTTTTAATGCTTGTCAATCATGTGACATGGATCAAGACAATGAAAACTGTCTGTCTTGATTTATTAGATGTATACAAAATAAAATTCAACAAAATTTCTAATAAAATGTGCAGAACTTGTTCTCAATTCTAGATTGCCAGCAGGTCATAAGTCACATAAAACAAAGGTAATAAAAATAACTCCTTTCCAAGATGCATGAAATAAATTAATATAGCACCAAATTACATTACCATTACATCAATGAAAAAAATATAAAAGCTAAGGCCTAATTAAAATTAAATTATTATAAAACATACAAAATTTAATAACTTAATTTGTGAGTCTCGCGGCACATTGAGAATGGTAACATCATCTGCCTCTTGAACAAGATGTAAGGGAGTTTGAATTTGTCCAGGTTTGTTCCCAACTATGCCATTGTGGATAAAGACATTGTGGATCTGTAGCCCAGTAGATGAGAAAGACAGCTTGAGGAGAGGTAAACCCTGATATGGATATACTACTCATTGAGAGGCTTGTTAATTATTGTACAGTAACCCAATTGTGAGAAACCCCTAAGTTGTGACAGTTGAGTGCCTGAGCCAACTAATGTAAATGTCTCTTTGGAGATGGCGTCGGTGGGTCGTCGAGTTTGCACTCATAATATCCCCCGCACTGCCAAAGGGGGCCAGAGCCGGGTTTCCCCGACTCCAGTCCATGCGGAAGAGCGCCAGGAACCTCCCTCCTGGCCTGAGGGACATCCCGTCAACCGAGGACGCTGCGTTTAAAGTGTCCGCAGTCCACTCTCATATGGGTCAAGACGGCTTTACTTCCTCTCCGGGGAGGTGGTGTTGCGTTACCACTCCCCACCGCCCAGGGAGTTGTGCGATCGGGACGAAACGGTCGCCTAGGGGCGGCTTTCTCAGGGCAGCGTCTTTTTATCATTGACAAGGATTTGGGCGGCCACCCATTATCTCATATCCATCAACGGCAACAATAATCATGTTAGCGCTCAACTTCCGTTGCGTAGGAAGTCATGCGTTTGACTGGGATTTTTTAGCTTCAGAGGGAAAACCCCCCCTACTAGTCGGTCACGCCACGAAGAGGCAAAATCCCATGTAACACCACTCGAGCAAGTGGTGCTGAGCATCGACCTCACAGAGCTCGGTCTTTGCCCGACCGGAGCCAACTAATAAACTTCTTTATTTTCATGATAGTCAACGCTTTAAATAGCCAGACTGTCAACAACTGTCGAAGCCTGTCCTTAATTCTCTTTATAAAACTTGTTCTACAGTGATGCTACAGAATAAAATAGTTATTAATAGTGCTAACTTCATTTGATTCTTTTATTGAAATATGCCAAAATGATCAAAGAACTGGTGAAAATGTAACAAGACAAAAAAACATTATTTATTTAGAAGTTGTGTTAAAACAGCAACTTATATCTTCAACTCAAAATCTCTACCCACCCAGGGTTTCCTATTTACTGTTCTTCCTAAGCTTTTGTTGTTTTCCAACTGTTAAGTTGGAGAAACTGAACTAATTTTTTTCAGTTCACCTTGGTTGGTTTAATTTCCTGTAGTCAGTGAGTTTGGCAGTGATTATAAACTTTGATTGCTTCAATACGTAATTTCATATTAATTAATCTTCCTTGCCTAACACTGTATACTTGTATCTATTTCTATTTAGATGGTACTTCGGAAAAATAAAGCGAGTAGAAGCTGAGAAAAAATTGCTGTCACCAGAAAATGAACACGGAGCCTTTTTAATACGTGACAGTGAAAGCCGTAGAAATGATTATTCCTTATCAGGTTTGTAGAATTTCCATATAATTGCCTCATGTGCTACTGCTAATAATTTTCCTTTATTTTGATGTGAATGATCCTGAAGGAGGATTATAAAATACACACTTGATGAAACGATTTATTTCGAGACCTGTTTACCCTCAAACTCTTAAAATCGTACAATATCATCACACATTCGTTCAATAAATTATCTTAATAGTAAAAAATTAAACATACAGTATATATAATGTACACACTTCAAAATCGTACGTTGTACGCCAAAATCGTAAGAGTAAACAGATCTGTATTTCTTTTGTCAAATGAAACCTACCTGTTTTGGGGAGATTTTAAAAAAAAATGTAGCATTAACTATTAGAGAAATAAATGTAAAAATCTGTCTTATTTGCTATTGCTTAAAATTGATTTTTTTTTATGTTTTAAAAACGTAGTTCGTGATGGAGACACAGTTAAACACTACAGAATTCGCCAACTTGATGAAGGAGGCTTTTTCATTGCAAGAAGAATTACATTCAGAGCACTTTCTGACCTTGTTGATCACTACAGTGCAGATTCTGATGGACTCTGTGTTAATCTTAGAAAACCTTGTTCACAGGTATGTTTTAGTCATACAGATCATTTCCATATTACATTTTTTTTTTCTTTGTGTTTTCTGCCATTTGTTTAAGAAGCAGTGGCAGTAGTTGTGAAAATTTTCCATTATTATTAGGTGATTGAAAAATCCCCTACTTTCGATTGTTTACTGTACCAAATTATAAACACAGATATAGCAATTTAAAAAACTTCATTTTATAATACCTGTTTTCTAATTTAAAATGGTGAAATGTCTTTAACTCTCTGCAGTCTGACGTTTTTTTCACATTTCTTAAAAATCTTAAGGTGATTTTTTAAAAATAATTAAGTAACTGATCTGAAATAGCTCTGATCTGATCAGTTAATATAGTAACTTGTTCATCTTTGACTCAGCTATCATTGATATTTTTTTGTATATTTTATTTTCTTAATTATAAAAATAATTGAAACATCATTGGAGAATTATTTTTTTGACAAAGTTTTCACACAGTATGAAGGAAAAAAAAAAAATCCTTGTTATAAAAGATTTAAAATTTATTTAAATAAAATACTTCATCATCTTATACAATTCATAGTCAAACATGACAAATATTCTATGAACAATCAAAAAGTTGTCAACATTTTAGCAAAACCTATATTGTCTTTTTTCCCTAAAAAATGCACTATAATTTTTCTTTTAATTAAAATTATGTTTTGTATGTAATATATTTAAAAAAATGGGCCTCATAGCTTATAGATTTGTATATTAAATATATTTCTTAATAATTCTTGAGTAAAAGATAAATAAGTAAAATTTGATGATTATATAAATAACTCAAAACAAGAGACAATGTTGTTTTTTTAATTTTAAAATAGCAGTATTCGCTGATGTTAAAGTTAAAAAAAATTAAAATGTTTCAGTACAATAATGCTAATTTTGATATTAATGTCAAATACTATCCATTCCTCACTAATTTGATCTATTTTTTCCCATGTACTGGCATTTTTATAGATCTTTATTATAATCCTCACATAACACAGGCTGATAAACTACAGTATTCCTTAATTATATTTATGGACTCGAAATATTATTTCTTAAAACAGTCTGCATTTTTATTATAATAATTATATTTGATAAATAAGAGCTTGGCCTGGACTTGTTTATACATAAGATTAGGTAAGATTTTTCACCACAGAATATTCCCTCAATAAAGAACCTGTGAAAAAAAAAAAATTTGATTGATTCATAAATAAATTAACACTAATGGTTTCAGTAATGGTATGCTATCAGAAAGGGAAAATACCATTAATCCTAATCCAAATGCCTAAATTAGTATAAAAGTAAACCATTGTACCTAGAAAATACATTATAACATATGTTATAACAATATTGTGAGTTTATTCTTTTTATGCATTTTGCTACCTAGTGATTAGATTAAAACTTACCACCACTTGTTTTTAGGGTAAAATCTTCAAAGATATTCCTCTATTAACTCTGTAACTCAGTAAAAAGGTGGAGTCAAGGCTTAATATTTAGGATCAATAAGGCATAAGGGCTTCTTGATCCAATATCTCCATTTTTGTCTCTCTCTCCTCCTTCCCATTAGAGTTAGAGAGCTTTTAATAAAAACATAATTTTTTTTAAAAATTCTGCCGACATTAGTCTCTACTAACACTAGTGACTAGAGATAATGATAATTAAATTTAAACACATTTCTGCTATGCAATATTAGAAAATTTAGAAGATTATTCATGGCTGTAACATATTTAAAAAAAATATATTTAGTTAATAACTCAGAAGTCCTTAAATTTAAATTTATTTAATTACGCAAGTTCGAATTGGCTGTAATTTTCCGCAATTTTAAAAAAATATTTATTTCGCATAGCGACGCTACTTATTTATTATGTACTTATTGAAACTCAATAAAATTCAAATATAATATATCAATATAAGTATAAATGGATAATATTGTAAGAGACCTTGCTTACTATCTGACAAACTTCATCTAGATCTGGTACTCAATAAGTAAACAACTCCGGTGATACATTTGATGATTAAACTCGTGTTCTTTATTTGATCTGTCATTTGCTTACACTTTCACTCATCTCACAACTCTGACTTCTCCCTGCTATCTAGTTCTCAGTCCGGCCGCCTTCTTCCTCTAACCATCCGGCCGCGCTCTCCCTCGTCCCGTCCAGAGATCCCTATTTATAGCTCCCCGTCCCATAGTTCCTCTCCCAGTCCAGGCGCCAGGTCTAGACGTCCCAGGTAAATGCCCTGGTCAGATGGCTTGATCCGTCGATCGTGATCCCTGGTCAGCTGGCGCTGGCTGTACCTGTCAGACGGTGTCAGACGGCCGTTAATCCCTAGTCAGACGCCCCCGGCCGAACTCTCCACAATATATACTTCAGCCAATTAAAATTATAAAAAATATCACTTTATTGTTTTATTATTAATTTTAAAGTCGGGAAATGATAATTAAAATTAAGCTTACTTGTTTATGATAGCATTAGTCGGTACTTTTATATGGAAATTGTGATAAATTTCATGATTAGAGTCTCCATTTGGATACATTACTTTAGACAAACAAATAACTCCTTGATAAATCGGGAAATTAAAATCATTTGACAATATTCATACTTCTTTTAATTTTCTTTGTGAGACTTATATTTTTTGTTTTTTTGGAAATCTGCGAAGCTTTCAAGGGATACTCCGCGCTGAATAAGTTTCCAAAAATATTTTATTTTAATAATAATTTCAAATTTTGTAATAATTTTAATTTTTTTACAAATACTTAAACCAATGAAACAAATTATTAAAATATAATAAATAATTTTTTTCAATAAAAAAAAAAGTTAAAAAATAAATAACCCACCCACAAAATCTATGGTACTTATAAGTACCTTTTCTCTATAGTCGGACTGGAGAGAGTTAAAAGGTAAAGGAGAGTATTCTGAAAGTATGCGTTAATAACCCACTCATCAAAACACCACTTTATGGTGTTGTTAAATATAAAAAAAAGATATTTTTAAATTATTACCAATGTTATGTGTAATGTTTCATGATAAATCCAATTTGTTGTTGTTAAGATCGAGAAGCCTCAGACAGTTGGATTGTCTTACAATACCAAAGACCAGTGGGAGATCCCCAAACCTTCTCTCAAGCTTATTCGCAAAATTGGTCATGGGCAGTTTGGTGAGGTCTGGGAGGGATTGTGGAACAACACCACGCCTGTGGCTATTAAGACCCTTAAGCCAGGTAAGCTAATTAATTAATCACTATCAAAATAAAGATGTCAAGGCATAATAGTTCAATAAAATACAGAAGAAAAGAACATATATAAAGATGTGAATAGGAGAGACCCTTTTATGGTATCTGACATAGGGCAATGTTTATTTTGTTCAATTAAATTACTATATTTTAGGTAACACAACAGGTTGGTTATTTATTCAGTAGTCCTTTAAACATAATTTTGGAAGTGGAGTATATTGGCAAAACAATATGTGTTGACATGCGGCAACTCCACTGGCTTCCAATATCCTCTCGCATCAAGTACAAGTCTGGCAATCTATGCTTCAACTCGTTCACTGACCCTCACTTTCCTGTCTATCTCTCTGAACTGTTGCTTCCTTACATCCCCACAAGACAACTACGCTCTTCCATTGACAATAGAACCCTCTCAATCCCAAGAACCAAAACTAAGACCATCGGTGAACGCTCCTTCTACTTCCATGGGCCCACGTTCTGGAACCTGCTCCCCTTCCATATCCGTCATTGTGAGACCTCGTCCACTTTTAAAAAGTCCCTTAAAACCCATCTGTTTAGGTCCGCCTATGACCTGTGATGCACCCTTCTTGCCCTGCCTCATTTTCTGTCTCGGGTTGATCCTGTAGTATAGGCCAATACGTGCCAAAGTGTACTCGTTTTATAGCCATTTTAATTGTTTCTATAGTATAGTAGTTATTATCCTAGTGTCTCATTTTTATTTTACTTAGTTTACATGTTTTTAATAATTGTAAAGCGCTTAGAGCTTTAAGGTAAGCGCTATATAAAAAATGCCTAAATAAATAAATAAATAAATACTTTAAGCCTAATGTGACCCAGGTTTCTTTTTTGATTGCTCTTGCAGGAACAATGGATCCCAAAGATTTCTTGGCTGAAGCTCAAATCATGAAAAAACTCCGCCATCCCAAACTCATTCAACTTTATGCAGTTTGCACTCAAGATGAACCTATCTATATTATCACAGAGCTTATGAAGAATGGTAGCTTGTTAGAGTTTTTACAAGGTCAGTATATTTGCACTGCTTCTAAAGTAAAAAGTCTAACAAGATATGAAAACAATCACGATTAAGAAAGACTTAAGATCTATTGTAAAATTTGGCAATTAAAGAACGAGTCCCATAAGTTATTTCGCAATATAGTTTGACTAAATAAAAATTCCTTGAGTATCCACTATTAACAAGATTTTAATTTTGTTACCAGGAAAAGGACGAACACTGAAACTGCCCCAGTTGATTGATGTGGGTGCTCAAATAGCTTGTGGTATGGCATACCTTGAGTCTCAAAACTACATTCACAGAGACTTGGCTGCAAGAAATATTCTTGTGGGGGGTGGAGACAATACCACAGTGAAAATTGCTGACTTTGGTTTGGCACGAGTCATCAAGGTAAATATTTATGGGTTTAGAAATCTTTTAAGAATTTACCAGCAGGCTCCCCCAGCGGTTACCAAATATAAATGATCACTGTTTAAGTGGCTTATTTCTACGCTAAAGAAAATTTTAGATGTCTTGTGTTTAAATTGTTAAAATTTTAAATTGTTGTCTTGGTTAAAATATGTATTTAATTATGTGCTGAAAATGAATATGTACAACGTAATCAAAAACATTTTCATATATCAATAAAATAATTCTATCATAATTTGATTTTTTCCAATGCATCTACCAATTTAGCCACCCATATTATAGGCTTGGTTATAATTAATTTTTGTTATGCATACATTTTTTATATAAGTAATATTTGAGAAAAAAATATATTGCCATAAAAATTAGTGACAGAATACTTCCATTGTAAACACAGGTGGCTAGTTTTAATTTTATCAAAACTTACTTCACATGGCTTGTGTGTGTATTGTCATAGGAGGATGAATATGAAGCACGTGTTGGAGCAAGATTCCCCATCAAATGGACTGCACCAGAGGCAGCCAACTTCAACCGGTTCACAATCAAATCAGATGTATGGTCATTTGGAATATTACTTACAGAAATTGTCACCTATGGTCGTGTTCCATACCCAGGTATAGTAGAAGGGAACGCATCAGTCTTTGCTATCTAACTACTTTTTTTTAATATTGATTAAGGAGTTTATATTATGTATAGAAGTCCAAAGCATGTCTCAGCTTCTTGTCATTTTGTTTTTAACAGTTACAAAGTTTTACCATGATACTCTTAACTGTTTTGAATATGTTGATATGACTTTAGGATTTAACTTCCCACTTCATTATCAGTGATGGAAAAACAGATTGACAATTTTTTGTATCACATAGCGCACACTTTAGCAAAGATAACTCTGCGGGCAGAATACCAAGATATTATATATCATATATCCAAGACAGTTTGTCAAATTCTGCAACAATCCTGTTGTATCATTATCCAACTGAAAAGAGTTGCTTTGTCAGTACTAAAAATAACTTTCCATTGTCGCTTGCGATCTTTAAAAAGTATCACTTAACTCTACCTTTTTTGAGAAAGAGTGGAAAATAACATTGGGAATGCATAATGAATGGATAATCAGATAGCAAAAAGAAATGAGATGTGAATATGAAATTAACATATGAAATGTGAATATAAAATTAACATATGAGATGTGAGTGTGAAATTAACATCCCTAATTGAAACCCAGCACAGGGAACAAGGAGCCTGATGTTGTTCTCAGTGTTGTATCTTGTAGTTACGCAGGAATTTTTAAAATTAACAAACCTATACCCATTACTTTTGCCAAAACATTTAATTTGTATTTTTTGTAATTATAATTAAACCTTAACATATGTTTTATTTACACAAATTGTTTGTGGCTCATTAATCTACTTAAAAGCTTTATTGCAGTCCAAACTTTTATAGCTCATTACTTTAACTGTTATGCACTACTTACCAGTTTAATTACCCATGCTTCGACTTCTGAAATTTCACTTCATGACCTTTTAAAATATCCATAGTATTGTATACATAAAAATTGTTCTGAAAATTTTTTTTTTCCCCCCTTGTTAGGCATGACTAATGCTGAAGTGCTGCATCAAGTTGATCATGGCTACCGCATGCCATGCCCACCAGGCTGCCCCAAGGTTCTCTATGAAATCATGCTGGACTGTTGGCGAAAGGAGGAAATTGAAAGGCCAACTTTTGAGACCCTGCAATGGAAACTAGAAGAATTTTTCTCCATGGAACCTAAAGAATACAGAGAGGCATCTTTTGTAAGATAAATTGCTGTAATTTATTAGCTATTTAAACTTATTAAGAACATTTTATTTAGTCATTTGAAAAAAAAATATTAAAGGATAATGGTGTTTTTAAAGACATCCATCAAAAACACTTGTACATTTTATTTTTGTACATTCAGTTTGGGAATATACTTGCTATCCCTCAAATTTTCATTTGAATTTTTCCAGCAGGGGTGTAGTGTTTTTTCCCCACAGGTTTTACAAACTAACTTGATGAATTTACTATTTTCAGTAAATAGTTTTAAATGCATGTGCCTAAGCTGAGGAAATCATTTGCTATTTGGAGTTTGATAGTTTCAGAAACGTTGTTTCCAAATAAGGCTCACCATAGCTAGTGATTGTCCATGCATGGAGAGGAAAGGTAAATTTTTAAGAAGTATGGAAGTATATAAAAGTAGAATGCAGATAACTAATGAAAAGGATAATTGAATGGAGTGTTCTAAGCAGGAAGCTTGTAATTGAATGAATTATAGAGATGAATGCAATATGCTGATGAATTGGTTTGCTTGGTTTTGATCTAGTACCTCAGAAGTGTTGGATCTGTAGATATGACCTACTGAAGAGTGACTGTCGTACGGTTGTGAGGTACTTAAACCAGGATGTTAGTGTCTAATTGCACTTTGAGAGAAATGATCCATCCATAATAATGATTAATGTGCCAATTTTTGTAAAAGTATGTTTAAGGCTGGTATATTTGAATTTGCCACTGTCAAATGTCAACTTATGTGTTTTTTGGTTGTAAATAGAGTGAGATAATTTGGGTTTAATGTATATGAGGTGCAGTGGCTGAGAGAGCAACAATAAAAATACATCACCCCCCACCATTTTAAATAAAATAAATGTATTAAATTAATGTGAGAAAATCTGAGTGTTACATTCAAGCACCATCGACAAATGTTGAGTCACTCACTCTACCATATTAATAGCCTTTATTAAGAGATTAATTGTGGAACCTCTATATAACGCACCCTACCATAAAAAGAAGAATTCGAATATAACATGGTCATGGCATTGGTCCCCAAATTTTGTATCTACATTTGTGCATGAATTTTTTGGGGTTAAATTTAACTGAAAAAGGAGTATATAAAAATATATTCTCATACAACATACTCACAATTCCTCAAAAACTGGTCCAACTTCAACACCACATAGCTCACTAACAACAAAATGATTAAAAAATCCAATTATTGGGTTATAGTTCCAAGATTTCACTGTAGTTCATACCATGTTTGTATTATTTAGTGCTAGTCTTCAACTGACAAAAGTCCGTTTTTATGAATTTTCTTTTTTGTGGCTCTCAAGAGTTTTGGTGTTATTTATAGTCAACTGTTTCTAAGTTTAAAAAGATTTAGTTAAACTTTAATGCTTTTTGTGTTAGATTGACAAAGAATTAGACATATATATTTTTTAAAATTGTTAGAATGAATTATATAACTGATAAAATTTTTATTTAGTTATATAACTGATCAAATTTATTATTTGGAATATACAGGCTGATCGAAAATGTTTGTAAGAGACATATCCTAAAACATAGATATAATTATTTCATGAGGAACACATAATTTAGAACTGAACAAGGATGTGTATTTTGGTGGTGTATGTCAATTTGATTAGATTATAAAGCGACCACTGGTTACAGGTCGTCATTTCGACTCCAGTGTTTCTTAAACCCCCATTGAAATCGTGTGTTTCTTATCTATCTTTTTATTTGTGCTTTTAAGTCAGAATTTTTTAAAAGGGTATTTTATATATTAGCTGTTGTGTTAATCCAGGAAGATTATATACAATGTTCCACCATTTTTCTTGTCAAGATGATTGTATACAAAGGTTCATTTTAGTCATGTTACGCTAAATGTATTTGCACCATAGCAAGGTTGTAAAGGTCCTCATGATTTTTTTTGTTCAGCTTTATTTGTATATCTGTACATATTATATAGGTAGTGATTTTGATAACTTTACATAAACTTTTGTGAAAATTGCAGCAGCAGTCATTGTTATTTTTTTCTTGTGATTCCAAAGTTTCTGAGATTTGGCAATGGAAAGAAAACACAAAGACCATGGCTAATTTTGCTAATAAAGCAGATCTTTGACAGAATGAAAATGTCTGTTCATTTCAGTTCCTAGGCATCTATTTATAGAAATGGATTTTTTACGTAGAGACACTTTATGGGACATTATTTCAGCTGTTTTGATTGTCATATTAAATTGTTTTTGAATTGCTCTGACTGGGGTAAGGTACTGATGAGAGAGTGCCCCTAGACTTAATAAATTTAGTGTTACAATACTTTTGTCGCTGTAAGAATATGTTTTTATTATTCCCTGTCAGCTTTTTTTGATTCCATTTAATTCTTTCCTAACATTTAAATAAACAACTAATTTTGTGGCTTTATAGTTAAAGATAAGGGCGTACATATGTCGTCCATGACATTGCAAAAAAAAAAAGCGTGTACTTATAAATGTGTTATGGCATCAGAATGGGAGAGTTAGGGTAGCTTAAATTATAGTAACTGACATTGATTGACCATGCTTAGACCCATGAGTAGTGGTTCTTAACATTTGCATGTCAATAAAAATCAATTTTTAAAACATATTTCTGCACATACAGGTAGGTGACCATTAGCTGAAATTACATTTTGATTTCAAATAATCATTTAAACTAGATAATGTAATAGCACACTCACTCATTGTAAGGAAATGTCATGAGCTTTCATTGATAAATGTGAAGAGGAGCACCATTATTTAAAAAAAGAAACATTCCTGTTTATGTAGCACTCTTCCATAAGGTTCTTTAATCTTCAAATAGCTGTAAGTAATATCTTTGCCATGGGAGGGTCATTGGCAGCATTTCTGTTGTCATACATATTTGGTGTTGTGTCACAGCACAATTTTGGGTGTTGCTATAAACACCCGCATCTCTGGTCATAACTTATTCGCTGCGTACACACATGTAACAAAGATGTGCATTTCTATGAAATAAATGTTGCACATAATAAGTTAGGCTCATAATTATTTTTTTGTGTGGTAAAAAGTTAAAATTACTTAAAAGGAGCATGAAAGGAAGACAGTCAGGCAAACCATGGAAGGCTCCTTAATTTTGAAAAATGGTCATATTAAAGGGTTGTGCACATGTGAGATGATCACACAGGTATTGAAAGCATTCACAGAAAATTTGACACATGACAATTTTGATTTTTTAAAACTGTTTGGAAAGTCCAGAATTTCTCAAATATAAAAAAATAAAGAAATTTAGCCGAATTGAATTATCTACTTGAACTTTTCAATAAAAGCAGGTCACACCAAGGCTAAATAAGTTTTTTGAAAATTAGTAATCATATTATAAGAAAACCTTAAATTAAATCTAAGGAATAAAACAACCTATTTAGTTCATGGTGTGACCTAAAGGAGCTATTATTCAAATGCTGTGTATTATGAGCACAGTGCAGCACACTTGGAAACCTTCCTCTTCAAAATTGATCCAGGTTTTGTTAAAAGGGAGCATAGAGAGAGACATGGAAAACAAATATAATTAATATTTAACTCATTTTTTTTTAGCTTGCCATTTAAAATAGGCAGTGTTTACCAAATGGGACAGGTAATTAGTGTGAGTGTCACTGTGACAAGACTAATTCTTGTCATTGATGTACAATTCAGAAGGTGGAGCGATTACTTAAAATGGTTGAACTCATATCGAGATCTTTTTCTTATTCACACTCATGGGTTTTGAAAATCTTACCCAAACACAAAGTCAGAGTACTTTGGTTAGGTGCGGGATGTTGATGCACTTTAATGCGGAGGACATCGGGGATGGCATCATTATGGAATTTCAGCTGGTCCAATAGAAAGTGGTAAAATAACAACAATTTTAACTCTATTTTTATTTTGAAGATAACCTTTCACCATCTATTAACTTCGCATCTTTATATATTATATATACACTGTGTTTGGTACCAGACATTCGAATGCTATCTCTGGTTCACATGATACTTGAGAGAAAACAATAGGCACCCAGCCCAGCTTAGTCTTGAGATGTCTTTTAATCTGTCGAAATTGGCTGGATTCTTGCTTTACCAATTGTGCAAATCTGTGTGAAGGGAAATTTTAACAGTGAACAATTTATTTCGGCATTGTGTTCTAGTGAAACGGTGCATTCACAGAAACGTGCAAGGCTTGTGGAGTAAATAGTCCCACATCTTATTTGAACACCCAACAAAACTTTACTTATTTTTTTAAATATATCTCCTTGTTTAAAATTGATATTTTCTTTTATATTTGATTGCCCTCTGTGGTGTTATAAGGGATGTCTGTAATGAATTATTGCTTTTGTTGAAGAGACACCAGACGTTACAAGCAATCCAATGTGATGTGTTATCCCACTAGTGATTTTACATATTTTCTTGAGCTGCAGGCTGCTACCAGCCAGACTGACTGAGACTCCTGTCCTGATTAAATAGGTCATTGGGATGCCCCCCCACTTCCCCCAACCCTCCCCAAATACCTCACAGAACTGTGTTTCATGATCAAATGTCACTTTTTTTTTCAACATTGACAGAATGAGATCAGTCCCTTTTTCTAGATTGACACTTTTTTCATTGACAGAATGAGATCTTGTCTTTAAAGATAAGAATTTTGTTACCTTTTTCTATGTTGACAGTGTTGGATCTTATTACTTTTTTTATAGTTCTATATTGACAAAATGATTCTGACCACTTCCTTTCTAGATTGGCATCAGATCTTGTCACTTTTTTAAAATTAAAGTTTGGTGTATGAACTGTCACATTTTTGTAAATAAGGTGATCACTTAACTACAACAGCTTGTCTATATGTCTGAGGTTCCCAAACTTTTTCGAGTCATGGCACCCTTTATGCATCCAGGCCTTCCCAAGTGAAGGAAGCCAGCTTGGGAACCTCTTAATTTAGTTTATTGATTCATATGAGTAAAGGCCTTGGCAAGGGGAAACAACTACAGGGGAACACCACTAGCAAGTATAGACTATGGAGTGAGACATGTGGCAGAAAAGCCGAACAAAAGGTCCCTTAATGAAAAGATTCTGTATTTCATGAGATGGAGAGTAGTGAACTGTAAATCATTCAATAGACTCTACACTCATTTTCATTTGGTTAGACTCTACACTCATATTCATTTGGTTACAGTATGACAGGATAAATGTTCACAATTTCATCATCCTGTTAAAATGGAAAAAAAAGTTTGGTGGGGTTGCCAGTCAATGCACTAAAAATTTAAGACTGTTTGTAAATTTAGTACAATTGTTTTTTTGTTTGTCTGTTTTTTTTGCTTGATGTGTAATGGCAGTGACAAAATGAAATGATTTCATGTCTTAAGTACGTAGTAGTATGAAATAGAAATTCATAGAAGTGACTGTTTTAAAAAACTTTAAATTGGATCAAAACTTCAAACAAGAAGGCCTGCCTAAAGGATTGTCTGCTCAAAGTTTGGCTACAGGAACGTTTAGACGGTCCCTTTAAGACATGACGATAGGGGTGTCCCCTCAGTTTGGCTACAGGGCCGTGCTCTCAAGACTTGGGGACAATTTCTTCAAGACTTGGCCGGTTGGACCTTGTCCTTAAGTCTCTGCTTTAGGACTGCCTCTTCAAAACTTGCATGTAGGTCCATGTCCTAAGTCTTTGCTTTAGGACTACCTCTTCAAGACTTGCCTGTAGGTCCATCTTCATCTATTTCATTGCGGAGAAGGGTGTGCCAGAATAAACTGAATGTATTGCAGTGCATCTGTACCCTGGCATTTGAGGTCTCGTGGCAAGACTTATCTCGACCAATGGTCAAGTAGAATAAGTTATAGCTGAAGATTTATATTTGCTAATGTTTCTGAAGTTGAACCAGTTCATCACCATATAACTTTTTAATGTTTTAAGCACAATTATATAAACAAAGACATTTTTTAAATCTTAATCTTTTTTTTTTTTTAATTAGAATATCATACATGAAGATGTCCGCTTGATACCTAAAGACTGCTCCTTTTCTAGCTGATTCCTGTACATACACCTGTGTTTCAGTGTCCAACAGATTTTTAAATGAAGTGGTGTAATGCAGCTGCTCTGTTGCACATTTGTGATCAGATTGAATTGTTTACCCTCTTTGATTACTTACACCTGGATCAACCCTGTCACAATTTTTTTTCTATCAAATTTATGGATTTATTGGATAAAAATGTGATGTAATGTTTTGGTGTTTTCTTTTTTTTTTTGAGACTTCGGCGTTTGCCAGATTGTCACTTTTCAATGGTAGTGTGCAATATCTTGATGTAAATTGATTTGATAAAATCTATTTCTCTGTGGGTTGTGTCAATGTGTGAAGTCATCACTTTGGTACCATTTTGGGGACTGGTGTTATGAATTGTTTACCCTCTTTGATTACTTACACCTTGATCAACCCTGTCACAATTTTTTTTCTATCAAATTTATGGATTTATTGGATAAAAATGTGATGTAATGTTTTGGTGTTTTCTTTTTTTTTTGAGACTTCGGCGTTTGCCAGATTGTCACTTTTCAATGGAAGTGTGCAATATCTTGATGTAAATTGATTTGATAAAATCTATTTCTCTGTGGGTAGTGTCAATGTGTGAAGACATCACTTTGGTACCATATTGGGGACTTGTGTTGATGTGAGTGAAGACATCTCTTTGGTATATTGGAAACTTTAACTTGTTGGTAATCTCTAGAGTAGTAGGAAAAACTGTGAGCCTAGTGACAGAGTCAATGCTTCTGGGGTGTCAGTGCTTCTGGCAGGGGTATCAATGCTGCTGGCAGCATCAGTGTTTTGGGGGCGGGGGGAAACGGACGACACAATATTTCTGTATGCATCAATGATTCCAATGGAATCAATGCCCGATGGAATCAATGCTCCTGAGGCGTCAGAGTTTCTGGGTCTGGGGGCATCACAGATTCTGGGAAGGGGTGGGGGGTGAGGAGAGCCTTTGACAAAAATTTTAACTCATTAATATGAGTAAGGAAAAGTGTCACAAATACCGTTGAAAAAAAAACAAACCCATACCAAGTCATCATCTCCAAGCCTGTTGGCGTCAAATGCTGAACGATTGTCATTGAGATCTTCCCGGGAGGAGGGGTGTGTGTCCATGCCAACTTTCTCCCATCCCATTTTTCTCCTATCCCATTATTATTCATGCTTCATTCAGACTTAATCTCTGCTATCCTTCTGAATGCTGGGTGGCCGAGTGGTCTAAACTAACTCACTCCAAATAGTGGTAGTCTGGAATTCAATCCCAATCTCCGCCGAAGCCAACATCCCAAGCACTCCGGGTGGATGGGACTCGTTAGCCTTGGAAGGCAACTCATGTAAGAGAAGGCTACCTCTGAATTCAAACCAGGAGCCAAAATGATCAATAAATTGATCGTGGGCCCTCAAATATGAAGAAAAAAAAATTTATAGGAGGGCTTTGGGTATAGTCACCATGGCCGTTAGTCCATTGGAGACCATGGCCATTTTCATATCCTACAGCTTCCCAGGCTGGAAATGAGTTTAAAATATTTCACTAAATAGCACCACGCCAAAGTCGACCTAGTCTCAAATTCTCTTCTGTTTCGTTTCAATGGTACCCGAGGTAGCTCAATGGTATTATGACATGAATTACTCCTCTGGTAGATGCCAAACCAAGTGTTGCCTCTCAGAACATACCATGTGTGTTGTATTGTGAAAGCGAATGTAAGCGTTGTGGTATTTTGTAAAGATTCACAGAGCATGCAAGGATTGTAGTATTTTTCTTCTAAAGATCGTGCCATTTTTAAAAATGTCTTTTTTGAAACCTGTATAAATAAAGATTGTGCTATTTTTGTTGTAAAGATTGTGCATTTTCTTTTTACAGCACTTGCTATGATCACATATCATGCCTGTGCTATGTTTGTTTGATGTAAGTGCATTATGTGTTGTGAATATGCTACTGCGGGTAGACATAGGCACAGCACATTTTGTGATTGTGTTTATGTCTCCTGGTCTTAGATCTGAAATGTATATTTAAGGGATGAAGACCTGGTATGTCCTACTTCAACGATTACCAGTGACTGCTTCCTATATGATCTAAAAAAAATAAATGACCCATGTCCTACTGGGGCCAGTCCTATTGTGTCTGTGTAAAACTGTCTGAACATTTGTTCAATGTACATTGGATTTATGAACTGGGAATTGATCACTAACCAACAGAGAGATTTCTCATTTTCCTGTCACTTGTCATCTCATGTTTATAATAAATGTTATTTTATTCATAATTTCAATTCTATCTTCATGTTTCTTTGTTAAAAAAATATAGGTTAACCATTTTCAAAGTTAAACATGTGTAATAAACTGTGTGACTTGAAATTGATGATGTCACTTATATCTCAGTGAAGTTACTTGGAATATGACAACCAGTACACAGATGCTTAACAAACACATGGGTACTTAACAAACTCATGGGTACCTTAACAAACACATGGGTACTTCACAAACTCATGGGTACTTAACAAACACATGGGTAATTAACAAACTCATGGGTACTTAGCAAACACATGGATCCTTAAGAAACACATAGATACTTAACAAACTAATGGGTACCGTACTTAACAAACACATTAGTACTTAACAAACTAATAGGTAATTAACCAACACATGGGTACTTAACAAAAAAATGGATACTTAACAAACACATAGATACTTAAAACATAATATGGATACTTAACAAACACATGGATACTCGAAGTACACAAAGATACTTAAATTACACAGATACTTAAAAACATGGCTACTTAACAAACACATATATTTAAACAAATTGATACTGAACAAACACATAGATAATTAAACACATGGATACTTTAACACATAGATACTTAAACACATGGATACTTAACAAACACATAGATACTTAACAAACATATGGACACTCAAAGTACACATAGATACTTAACTTACACAGATACTTGGATACTTAAAAACAAGTATCCAATTATTGATGTCTGATGAGATAATACAAGATTGCTGGCTTGAATGGAGTGATGAGATGGATTGTGTAAGTAAATAACTAGCACTGCGAGATAGATTGTATAAATACAGGTAAATAACTAACTTTGTGAGATAGATATTATAAATAAATAACTAACATTGTGAGATAGATATTACAAATAAATAACTAATACTGTGAGATAGATTTTATAAATAAATAAATAATACTGTGAGATAGATTGTATAAATAAATAACACTGTGAGATAGATTGTACAAATAAATAATTAAAACTGTAAGATAGATTGTAAAAATAAATAGCCAACACTTAGATAGATTGTAAATATGACTGGCCTACAGATCAATCTTGATATAATCTATATCATCAGGCGACTAATTTATTTTACAATCTATCTCATTTTGCAACGGCAATCTATCAGCTATCTTGTAATTGTTGTGATCATACTGATGATAACCCTGAACACTTTTAAAATCTGGCTCACTTTATTTTATTTGCCTGATAGGCATTTGTTTGAGTTTCCCTTATGTGAAAACAATATTTTTAAATGATCCATCTCAATTCTAAAATCAGTACTGAAGTAAACAGTTGAAAAATCTCCACAAAATTTGGGATAGAATTAAAAACAAAATTCAGACTACTACTACATGATCCTGCTGCAATTTATGAAAGGGGACATGCATTGTCCTTGAAAGGGGGCATCCATTGACTATGAAAGGGGGCAAGCATTGTCGAAGGTGAACTCACGGAATAGAAGATTTCCCGACAGCTTTTCGTTTGTTGTTGTTCTGTCCTTAAAAATTTTGTTTCAAATTCAAGGGAGGAGCTTGAAAACAAACCTCATGTTGTTCTAAACTTCAGACAAGGTTCAAGTGAAATCCTGCACAATCGTCGCTCTTTCGTAACCTTCGATTATTAATATTATTGTTTGTTTTTTTGGGGTGGGGGGGAGGGGTAGCCAAACTGTACTTCAGGTTTTACTTAGGTGTCTTCCCTAAGATAATTTAATTCTCCATTTGGCCAAAGGACTATGACCGAAAAGTTTGCTATCCCACCAGAGGCACGTGAATATAGAACCTGTAAGTAGCTTGACTATTTTGAAAACAACAACACCACCCCCCCCCCCCCAATAAAAAAAAACAAACAAAAACAAACAACAACAACATATTTTTCATTAAAAAAAGAAAATAAGATAAGCGTCACGACCTTGTCATGTGACATGATGTAAATTAGCGGCGTGACACGCGCCCAAAATCCCATTTTCCTCTTAGTGCCAAGTATAAAAACCAGTTGGGGGGGGGGGGG